TATCACCGTCAATAGATTTCGCGTGAGCGCGTCGTCACGAAAATGGGACTTAATAGACGCTCATGCGTTCCTGAGATACTACATTGATACTGTGGTATGCGTGAACATGTCCTCTATCGAGTTTTTATAGTGGAATCGCTGCTTGCGTTTTTATTAACCCGTAATATCACCGTCAATAGATTTCGCGTGAGCGCTTCGTTACTATTCTGCCCCCTGGAAGACGCTGAATCGTTCCTGAGATACAACATTGGGTATCAATGGATACCGAGGTATGCGTGAACATGTCTTCTATCAAGTATATAGCCTATAGTGGTATCTGGTGTCGCATTACTATTGACCCATATTACACCCACCAATAGATAGTAGGCGAGCGCGTCGTCACGAAAATGGGCCTTAATAGACGCTCATGCGTTCCTGAGATACTAGGCTACATTGATACTGTGGTATGCGTGAACATGTCCTCTATCGAGTTTTTATAGTGTAATCGCTGCTTGCGTTTTTATTGACCTGTAATATCACCGTCAATAGATTTCGTGTGAGCGCGTCGTCACGAAAATGGGACTTAATAGACGCTCATGCGTTCCTGAGATACCACATTGATACTGTGGTATGCGTGAACATGTCCTCTATCGAGTTTTTATAGTGGAATCGCTGCTTGCGTTTTTATTAACCCGTAATATCACCGTCAATAGATTTTGCGTGAGCGCTTCGTTACTATTCTGCCCCCTGGAAGACGCTGAATCGTTCCTGAGATACAGCATTGGGTATCAATGGATACCGAGGTATGCGTGAACATATCTTCTATCAAGTATATAGCCTATAGTGGTATCTGGTGTCGCATTACTATTGACCCATCTTACACCCACCAATAGATAGTAGGCGAGCGCGTCGTCACGAAAATGGGCCTTAATAGACACTCATGCGTTCCTGAGATACTACATTAATACTGTGGTATGCGTGAACATGTCCTCTATCGAGTTTTTATAGTGGAATCGCTGCTCGCGTTTCTATTGACCCGTAATATCGCCGTCAATAGATTTCGCGTGAGCGCTTCGTCACTTTTCTGCCCCCTGGAAGACACGTATTCGTTCCTGAGATACTACATTGATACCGTAGTATCCGTGAACATGTCCTCTATCGAGTTTTTATAGTGGAATCGCTGCTTGCGTTTTTATTGACCCGTAATATCACCGTCAATAGATTTCGCGTGAGCGCTTCGTTACTATTCTGCCCCCTGGAAGATGCTGAATCGTTCCTGAGATACAACATTGGGTATCAATGGATACCGAGGTATGCGTGAACATGTCCTCTATCAAGAATATAGCCTATAGTGGTATCTGGTGTCGCATTACTATTGACCCATCTTACACCCACCAATAGATAGTAGGCGAGCGCGTCGTCATGAAATGGGCCTTAATAGACGCTCATGCGTTCCTGAGATACTACATTGATACTGTGGTATGCGTGAACATGTCCTCTATCGAGTTTTTATAGTGGAATCGCTGCTCGCGTTTCTATTGGCCCGTTATATCGCCGTCAATAGATTTCGCGTGAGCGCATCGTCACTTTTCTGCCCCCTGGAAGACGCGTATTCGTTCCCGAGATACTACATTGATACTGTGGTATGCGTGAACATGTCCTCAATCAAGGTTTTTATAGTGGAATCGCTGCCCGCGTTTCTATTGACCCGTAATATCGCCGTCAATAGATTTCGCGTGAGAGCTTCGTTACTATTCTACCCTCTGGGAGACGCTGAATGGTTCCTGAGATGCTATATTGATACCGAAGTATCAATAAACATGACCTGGTCAATGTTCTACCCACTGAAAGACGCTTCTGTATCTTATGGAAATTGGTGTTAAATGCAATGATATATAAAATATATCATCCCATTGCTTATTTCCCATTCTCGTGCTACAGCTGAAGCCAATTACAGCTGTACCTATTTATTGTTATAGTTATTAACTAACACACTATTAAAATATCACATAAATATTCAATATTCATCGCAATAGACTTTTACAACATAAGGTTTTACAATTGTATTGAAACCACACATAAAATAGATAGGTAAACAATTCATTCTTGTACTAATTAATAGGTTGAACTGATGATAAAATATATATTTTTTTCATTTGAGACTGAAATTTATATTATTATGTTGTGAAACTCATATTTACACCACTATTTACACAAGCTTATTTTTCAGGCAATACTGGTTATTTTACATAAATACAATATACACGGGCTAATGCAAATATTTTATATTCCATAGCTATAAACAATAACATTGAACGCTTATGACAGTGACTTAAATCCTCTCCAAATAGCTAACTCAGTCAAACGTTGAAATAACCTATAACAAAACGTAGACCGGAGAAGCGGGAGAAGAGTACAATAAGGAGAGAGAGAGAGAGAGAGAGAGAGAGAGAGAGAGAGAGGGAGAGAGAGAGAGAGTGAGAGAGAGAGCGCGCGCGCACTACTAGTGGCCTTGAATGGCGAGACCGCACGCACGCACAGGCGCGCGCACTATTTATTGGTGAGTTATTGGCAGATTCACATCAATCACTAGGCCTATGTAAAAATTGGCTATTCACAAGAATTGTTCATCAGCTGTTGGAATGTAGTACGACATCATACTTTTTAGAGAATGGAAGTTTACTTTACGCTTGATGCAGTGGTAGATATGCCTAACACTTGTTTTTGTAAGAAATGAAAATTACCTATGCTATGATTTTTTGAAATGACTCTTGTTTTACGATTGCACAACGAAACATGGCATTTGCGAGTAAGCGCGTTTTTTTCATTGAAATGTAACTCATTATAAGATCGATATAATATGAAAATGGTTCATTAATTATTTTATCTAGGCTTGGTTGTCACTGTATTTTACAGAAGGACAAGGTAAGTTACATACTTATGTTAACTTATAGGTTAAGGTTTATTCTTATAATAAAATGAAACTTCTCATCTTTCCATTGGTAAGTATAAGAGTTACCTATGTCATTTTCAACGGCTATTGCTGTGCGTAACATGCAACGGAAAAACGTTACACTAATCAACAAATTTTGTTGCCCGCCACTCCAGCAACACATTTTAAAAATCAACATTTTTGGTCGATCCGCCACTTCTAGGGTTAACATGGGTTGAAAACAGTCCAAGTGTAGGGGTACTAGTGATGGGCGATACGGGTCAATGTATACGTATCGGAACGTGGTGTATCGATACGTGTATCGTATCGTATCCTCATGTATCGATTTTTACCCGTATCGGATAAAATATCGTATCGTATTGTTTATTTATAATTTTTTTTAAATTTAAATATCTCAAATACTGTATTCAAGTTGCATAGACAAATACTATGTTACTTACAAGCTTGAAAAGAGGGTTAGTGCTTGTAATCTTACTTCAGAAAACCCGTTTCCTTCCTGTGTCTTTTTATTTGTATCAAACATACATATTACTAACCTCCAAATTCCGGTAAACCCTCAAAATTGGAAAACATTTTGTTATTGTTTTCCTAGTTTTTACACAGGGATAATTAATTGAACCAAAAAGTACTAATAATGATGGCTGGTATGCCACTTAAACACATTAAATAGTATAATATGGATAATGAGGGTCCCCACTTCCATTAATGGTGGCCCTAGTCACAGCCGCCTTTAACTACAGGCCGCGGCCTGGTAGAATTGGCAACATCGCAAGTGGTATGTTGTTCAGTGACAGACGTCCCATAAGATAACATGGCAGACAGGTGACATCAGCTCATTAATTCACACTTTAATGATTTAAATTTAAATTTATGAACATAAATTTATTAAAATATTGAAAATAAAACATACAGAATTGAAACCCGAAACAGTATGAATTAAAATCTATATCGGTACATTTTTAAGCGGACTCAATATTGTCATAGTCCAGTAACCAATCTTTCGTAAATACACAAATACCATTAGCTACTTCCAAACAAAAACAGCTGTTACAACACCGCTTGCGACGTTGCCAGTTCGAAGGCCGCGGGCGGCCGTGCCCTAGTTTTGAGGTTTTTTGCAAAACATACGTGAAAATACATGTTTTATCAGTGTTTTTGAAGATGCTAGGGTAAAATATCAAATTTCCACTAAGCCTACTACTTTTGAGGGGAGGAAGATGGGAAGACAAATGTCTTACCATAAAAATAAGATTTATATTAATAAATAAACAACACGATATTCGATATACGATATTGGCTATAGGTGTATCGATACGGGCATATCGATACACTCCCACGTATCGATACAAAATATCGATATTTTGAGGTCCTTGTATCGATATCTGTATCGAAACGCACATCACTAAGGGGTACAGTTTCTTAACTAGGCTATGCTAATATCGATTGAAACTATCGAAATGAAAATATTGATTAATAATCGATATTTTTAAATATATCTAGGCCTATTATAAAATTTAACTATCATAACCTAACCTAAGTTAACCAACCAAACTAGCTGATTGTGAAAAAATCGCATGAAAGTTCACTAATCGAATCGATAGTTTCAATCGATATTAGCATAGGCCTAGCCCAGTTAAGAAACTGTACCCAAGTGTAGACCTAGGTATGAATGGAACTGCAACCTAGGGATTAGGCATATAAAATTCAGGAAATGGAACTAGCCTAATTTGGTTATCAACAATGACCCTATCCAGACCTAACATTATTTAAACTTGGTCATCTGGTCTGATTTTTGCAAAAAGCCATGACTAAGTGGTTATTCCGTAGAAATTATACCTAATTTAGGAATTTATTTATAACCCCTTGAGGATTGAAACCTTATAAAACAATAACATATCTTTAATAGCTAATAAACATGTATCCCTAACCTACAAAATTATAATTTAGGTAAACTAAGATTCGTACAAGATCAGTCAACTTGCTTAATGTATTTTTAGTGTAGTGCTATTAAAATACTCATACTTTAATTGTTAATATAGTAGACTTAATACCAATTAACTAGGATTACCTGAGATAACGATTTACCGACTCAGAAATACATACACCGAGCAGGGGTCCAAACTTTAAAGGAAGTAGGAAAAAAAGACAAAGACGGTCTCTGTCGGCGGCGAGGTAAACGGAAACACTCATAGCCTAGACGCTAGACAATCATACATAATATAGCATATATCCATAGATGCTCAACATTTTATGCAGTATTATTTTTTTTATTATTGGATTATTGGTATATAAAATCAAAATAATAAAACATACAATACTAGGCTAAGAAATAACAAAGATAAAAAAATAATAGATCAGATTATACTACCTTACAGTATCCAAAATCAATGTTTGTAGCCAGTTTGAATTTATGATTCATGAAAGGTTGCATCATTCATAGACTAAATGGGTTATGTTTCATTTATGGTCGCAAAGGTTACGGTTCACTTACACTACAAATCATAGACACTATGAGCCTCCAAATATGTAATTCTTAAAACACATGGCTCACTTACTCTACAGATCATAGTCTATACGAGCCTCGTAAATAATATTGAAGGTTCACTTACTCTACAGATCATAGTGCATATGAGCCTCGGGTCTTATATTTAAAAATAAAGTAGGAAGGTTCACTTACTCTACAGATCATAGTGCCTATGAGCCAAGCGTATGAATTATTAATTAATTCAGGAATAAAGAGGTTCACTTACACTACAGTTCATTTAGCTACACGTCACGTGGTTTGCTGCGCATCGTTGCAGGCGTTTGGTAAACCAATACCGCCGTTCTGCTTTACTCCTGCCGTTTACTAGTCGCAAACGTTGTACTAGTCGTGAAGCCACGTAAGGCGGTTTGCAGCGCATCGTTGCAGGCGTTCATGGTAAACCAATACCGCCGTTCTGCCGTTCTGCTTCTGCCGTATACTAGTCGTGCAGCGTGAAAGAGAGCTTATTATGTTAATGTATTGTTGAATTTTGATCAAGTGTACTCGGTGCTCGAGCGCAAGCAATTGTCAAGTACCGGTATTACAGAAGCTATTTTAAGACTTATAACAGTCATAATTTTCAATTAAATACTCACCTAAAAGTTGATGTAACTAATGGAATTACTTACTGTGTTAGGAACACTTCGGTATAATGAAATTTTCTTGTAAATATTTTTAGAAGATTCAATAGAAGATGCAATGTTTTAGAAGATTGCACACACAAAATACTGTTAAAGTGAGTACTCCATAACTATGTAAGGACTTTTATGTATCATGTGGGTTTTTCTCGTTTGAGTTAAACAGTTGAGCATCGTGTAGTTATGTATGTGTAGTAAGGATTATGACATTGTATCTATTCTTTGCATTCTAAAATATAAAGACAGGTTAAAAAATACATAATTACAAGAGGTTCTACCCGCGAATTCACGGGTGCACATAAGCCACCGTTAAATTAATTTAATCAACTTTGACTTTATATTTCATTTAAAGTGCCCAAGTTCGAGACATTGTCATCTGAAAGGATGTTAAAAGCAGTGGAACCTTCATACCTTACGTCCTAAGGTGGCTGAGGTGGGTACAGTTGTACCTGAACACGCCGCTCTCTTTCACGTCGTTTTTAATACTTTAATACGGATTTTAATACCTATCAATGAAATTGCGACCTGTTAAAGATTGGTGACGACCTCTTGGACCGAACAACATACATGGTTTGTTAATCTCATATTCATCGTGTTTCGAACACCTTTAATCACTCACTTGTATCAAACAGCTAGAAATAGCCCAGTCAATAAAGGGACAAAATAGTGCTTTGTCGGAAGTAATTAGTGAAAGGCTGATTTTTCATGGATGTTAGTAGATCATATAAGAAACATTTTCTAAAAAGTCCCCGCCCCTCCCCCTCTTGCTTCCCCCCCTACACCCTTTTTAAGTGTATTTGTGTAAGCTTTTATCATTTTATCAATATCTCAGAAACAAACAGCAATATAATAAGTTTTGTTTCGCCATTTTAATCCTTAAAATATTCTCTACAAAAAACGTTGTAAGAATGTAATCGATATATTCAGTAGTGTTCTTGTAATTTAAGTTTAAATGTAATTTTTTTCATTTTTACATTTCAACCTTCGTGTGCTAAGTTTATTTGTATTGAAATAAGACGAGATAGAGAAAAATATTTTATATAAAAAGTTGGCGTATTTCTCAATCTTTAAAATGAAATGGGTTTTACGTATTTTAATTGCAGCCGTAGTTGTTCATAACTTACTAAGCCCCACCCCATTTTTCGGGGTTTTCGATGATCTCTTTTTGATGGCGAGGTGAAATAATTGATAATTGTAATTTATATTCTTAGCAGTAGTGGTGAACTACCGGTATGACCCCACTTTAGGCACGTTTTTCCCATGTTATTCTTATGGGGATCATTTTTTAGCCACCAAATCCAAAAATCCTGATCTTCGCCTGTACACCCCAATATAAATGTTCAATACCATTGTATAACTTCATTACTATTTCAAATCCACATGCATTCACAAGTATATTCTCAAAATCATCAACTTGACAGTGCGAGGTTTGCATGTGCTCCCAGCTCACGGCGCGCTCCCTTGGACATCCTTAGTGGAAATCCATGAATTCTGACTACTTGGGAACCCAAGCCATTTGACATACAATAAATCACCCTTCCTCCTAATTACCTTTTCTATTAAATACATGTCTTTATATTTGGTCTTTAACAACTCCTCTGTATAGAAGCCTCCCCTGATTATATTGCCATTTTCATCTTTCAAGATATAAGTCACAGGCTTTGTATTCTTAACTTCTGCTATTGTAAATAGCTCACCTGTCCAATTTGGGGTATAACCTTTACTAAAAACATGTTTATACTTGGAAATTCTCACGCTATCACCCACCTTATATCTTGGCTTCTTAACTTGCACTACTTTAGAAGTCAACCTCTCATGCACATATTTACTATTCTTAATATTCACTTGGTTAGGCTTCATTCCTATAGATCTATGCACCTTATTATTATATTTTCGAATTAACTTTGGAAGTAAATCCAACCATTTATAACTCCCCTGAGCACTAAATTCCCTATATAACCAATTCTTTAAAGTTCTCTGAAACCTCTCCACAATTGCAGCCTTAGTTGTAGAAAATGTGTGATAGTGATTAATATTTAAGTTTTTCATTAGTTTGCTAAAATATTGATTAAAAAATTCTTTTCCATTGTCAGATTGAATGTTTTTAACCCCCTTTGGTAGAATGGTTTTAATGGCTTCTGTAACCACCAACCCTGTCTTATTCTTTAACGGAGCAGCATAAGCCTTTTTAGAAAATGTATCTATTAAAGTTAAAATATATTTATTGCCAGAATTTTCTCTAGCATAGTTTTGCATATCAATTAAATCTATTTGTAAGGTTTCGTTTATACCTAATACTTTAAAAGACCTTCTAATGAAATTCTTTCTTGCAGGCTTATGAAGTTCGTATGCAATTTCATTCATTTTTTATAACATCACTCTTTCCTTGTACTGTAAATATATTACCATTAGCCCCAATCAATAGATTATCTTCCATTCTTTTAAATACATAGTTTTCTGGTATATAAGGTCTATTATCTATATACTTAAATCCACTCAAAGATGTAGGGTCGGCAACTAATAAATCAGGATTGTATTCCATCAAATTAAATTTTCTTCCTGCATATACAAATTTTGATCCATCATAATACATAGCTTGTGACATTAAACAAATATCATCTAAATATTCCCCCTTTGGCAGATTCCTTATAAATTGTTTTTTGGCATCCCAACATTTTTCTTTTTTATCAAAAGTTATAGTCTGTTCTTTTGTAACACAGTCAGTGTCATCAACGGCGGGTTTTACACGTACTAACCTTTTATTATTAAAATCCCAATAGCCTGCTTCCATTTTTGGAACTTGTGAAACATTCACAGCATCTTTACTATCTGTACCTTCCATCAAATTGCTAAGTTTCTGTTTCTTAGCATTCCAAACACCATTCTCAGATTCTAAAAATTCATAATTATTATCATCTTGTATAAATTTACCATCTTCTTTTCGTATTAAAGTCTGTTGTAAAGTGGGCACATCATTTAAACTTTCACCCTTTTCCACATTAGTAATTTTCCGTTTCTTAGCATTCCAAACACCATTCTCTGATTCTAAAAATTCATAATTATTATTGTCTTGTACAAATGTACCACCGTCTTTACGTATTAAAGTCTGTTGTAAAGTGGGCACATCATCTAAACTTTCACCCTTTTTCACATTAGTAATTTTCTGTTTTTTAGCATTCCAATTTTTATTCTTAGATTCTAAAAACTCATATTTAGTTTTACCTTGTAAAAAGACATCACCTTTTCTAGTTAATGTCTGTCCCAAAGTTGATACATCATCTACAATCTCCCCATCTTTAACATTACCAATTTTACGGTTTAAACAATTCCAACTATCGTCTTTTAAATTTAAAGTAGGTTCATGACTAGCCCTGGGTTCTGCAGGCTTATTATATGGATTATATAAACGATAAAATTTATCTATAAACATATTTTTATTTAATAAATAATACCACTTTCTCTCAATTCCTCAATAATGGAATCTATTTCATTATCCACTCCTGAGTTACCGGCTTGGCGACTTAGCCAAAGAAGTCTTAACCTATCTACAAGCTCATTAGGATCATCCCAATAAATATAGTCTATTTTATTACCAGTCACTTGTCTCAAACCTTCACCAACAGATTTAAATAGAGGTTTAATTATATTAAGATATTTAGTATGTCTATTACTTGAAATTGGTGCACCATCTTTGTAACTCTTTAAATGCCCATTTGTAGCTTCCAAAATTTCTTTATAATTTTGCAAATCAGCCGGAGTATAATCCTCAGGTTCTTTTAAAGTTAACAATTGCCACAAGCCTTTTGTCCCCTTGTAAGTTTTATTTGCAACTGTAACATCATCATTGGCAATATCAACTTCCTTATTTCCAATAAAAAATTTATTTGCTTCTCGTCTAATACCATATGTAGTGTCTGTCATACTACTTTTACTGAGGTAATTTCCTAAATAGTCTGATGCTAAAAGACCAAAATCTAATTTCTGTGGGGTGGATTGTTGTAATCTTGGTATCATTG